ATACGGCGTTACAATCCCCACAATTGATCTGGTATACACAATTTTGCTGGTTTTCTTGTTCTATTTTATCCTTAACCAGTAATGAGCGTAAGGTGTTTGATGCACGAAAATACACTCGTATATTATGGTCGTTAAGGATTCGCTTTATTTCGTCGGAAGTTTCTTTGCGGTAAGGAATCACCGCTGTACTAACCCAAGTCTTAGCAACAGGTTTTGATTCATCCTTATCTTCACATTTTAAATATCTATTTATGAAGGATTTTGGATAATTATTTGATTCAAGAGTGGATTGAACCAATTTTAATTCCTTGCTAATATCTTCCTCCTCAGTAACTAGACGTTTGGCTCTGTTGATCAGGTTCTTGGCCACAGTTACTTTTGTGGTAAATGGATGAGCTGAATGGTAATCTAGGTATCTATCCGAATTTGTCGGCTTTCTAAAAATGTTTATTTTAAATTTTCCATCTAATTTTCTTTGTACTAAACAGTCCAGGAACGCCAAATCATTCTCATCGGATTCAACCTCTTTGGAGAACTTAATAGTTTCTGATATACTGTTTATTAAGTGAAACAGTTCATTTAACAAACTACGTTTGATTATGATGAAGGTATCATCTACGTATCTTAACCACATCTTTGGGGGACTAGGGCATCTCATGATTGCATTTGTTTCTGATGAGTGCATAAATAGATTGGCGACTAGCGGAGATACTGGTGATCCCATAGCAATGCCTCCTGTTTGACGGTAAAGAAGCCCTTTAAACGTAAATAACGTGGATCGAAGACACAATTCTAATACCTTCATAATTTCGTCGGGGTTTAAAGGACAACGACCACTGAGTTCGTCGTCAGCAATAAGTAAATTATGAATAATACTTAAAGAATCATTAACGGGAACATTCGTGAATAATAAATAAACATCGAAACTTGCCATTATTTCATCTTCTTCAATATTAGTCAAGTTTATTCTCCTCTTAAATTCATACGAAGTCTTCACTCCATGCTCCACTTTCATTTCATATGGACTAAGAATTCGATAAATGTATTTAGAAAGCTTGTATGTTGGAGAATTGGTAAAATCCACTACAGGACGTAGTGGAACATCTGATTTGTGTATTTTTGGTAAACCATAAAATCTACAGGGGCTGCAACTTTTTGGAGCCAGAGTAAACCAAAGTGATACACCGAGCTTCTCTTTTATTGACTGTAACATTTTGCTTGTTTCAGCCTTCAGTTTATTTAAAGTTGCTCTTGATTTATTCGCGTTGAATTTTTCATAAGGTCCGTCATTAAGATGATCAATGGCCTTCTTTTCGTAATCTGCAGTATTCATGACAACCGTGATATTGCCTTTATCTGCTCTTGTATTTATAATCGATCTATCTTGCTGTAGTTGTTTCAATGCCAGTTGCTCGCTTTTACTTATATTCGGAGCATTTGGCTTCTGGTTCAGTAGAACTGCTGCAATTTTGTGTCTTATGACGTTTGCCTCTTCGGCTGTCACTGAATTTAACGACGGTTCAATTGCTGGAACTACTTCAAAGGCTGATAGACGCCTTTTGTTTAAGTTGAAATGAAGTCCCTTTTTAAGGAGGGATAGTTCATAATCTGATAAGTTTCTGTCAGAGAGATTGACCACCACTTTGTTCGTATCCAGAGAGTTATGACTAGACGGATTGTCAAAATGATGGTGTTTAGGATTAATATTCAGTTGAAGTAACCTTTCGAACTTTTTGATTTGTCTTCTTTTTGAAGATTGAAGATAAAATTCTTCTTTAAACTTAAATATGTTGTCAATGAGAGTCTTCATATCTGATGTAACCAATACAGATAAAATTTCATCTAAATTGGACATTCGCATACGAAATAATTCCATGTTTTTGGTTGCTCTGTGAACGCGTTCTCGTACAAAAGTTCTTGTTGCAGAATGAGCTGCTTTAATCGATCTGCTAGAGTTATCAGGTGACTTGACAGTAACGGATTTAGGATAGATATTCTGTTGCAGACATCGGAGATTGAAAATACGATGATTGTACCAATTACACATTTTCTTCGTTAGTTTAATTCGATTGCAAAATAATTCGTATGAACTGTGATCAAGATTTGACCGGACTCATGATTGGACAAAATTTAAAAAACATGAGTTGTTTCTTTTATATATAAACCTGTTTATTTTAATTCGATTAATTTCCCTGAAGAAGTTCGGACCAGATTGCCGAACGAAACGTTGGAATTAATCATTTCAATTTCGCTGAGATTTTACAAATATAATTTTATAGAGGTTATTTTTTGTTATTTTAATTTCACTTATTTCCTGCAGAGGTTCGGAACAGTTTGCCGGATGAAACGTTGGAATGATTTACTTCGCTTTCTCTGAGACTATTCTAAATATTTGATTTTTACATATGTCTACGTTTCGCTCAGCGCCCAATGCTTGTGGAACTAACTATACGGTCAAATCTTGAAAAGAATTCTTATAAAATGTAGGGCATATAGTTCTATAATTTAACATATAGTTGCATTTCGAAAGTTAGTGGTCATTTCATCAATACACTCCCTTAAAACAAGATTACAGTGAGAGCTGTGTGTTATTTTGTCTTTCGAATCATAGTCTTTGATACAGTTCTCTGTTTCCTGAATAGACACTGCAATCTTTATTTTTATTTATCATCCCTCAAGAACAGTTAGTTTAAATGTATTTGTTAAAATATTCGCATGTCTTTATCGATCAAAAGGTGGCATATGACATTCAAACTATTGAATGCACCATTGCTGGGCCTAACTTCAGTTATCAATTTTGAAATAGGAGATTTTGTTGTTCCTCAGTTTCGATTTAGCGATCCGTCAAAGGTCTTTGATGGAAGATGGTTGTTTGCAAGTAGGTAGGAACCTAATGAATTGGAGAAGAAAGCAGTGAGACTGTAGGCATTCATTGCAAAAATTCAAGTGAGTTACTACTCTGTATATTCGACGACCAAGTAATTCGGTGATTTGAAAGATTGAGAGGGATTGGTACTTTTTAGAAAACTCACACACTTATTCTTCGTGTCTGCAATTTGATTTGATATCTGATATCATTAAAAGAAGGATCTCACAGTCCCTGAGAAGGACAGTCCCTGTCGCATCCTTGAGAATGGCGTTTACCAGTTGACCATTACTGTTCAATAACCTGAAGGATAAGATCCCTCTGTTGACCAACTCTGTGTGAGTTTATCAATTCACCTGCTCATGTGGAGTAGGTCATTTGACCCAAGTTTTGTCCAAGAGGGTGCAAGAACGCTATCCTGCATGATTGTGAAGAGATGGAAGTGGAGTAATAAGAACCACGATCATTGAAGATCTGATCGATTTTGGTCATCCTATCTCTACAGCCTCTGCCTTTAAAGTCATCTACAAGGCAAAAATTAATTCACCGAAATCACTACGTACTCGAATAATCTTAATTGCTGAAGCTTTGGCCAGATCTCTGTATGCAGAAGAAGTTTGTTCAACCCCTCCAACTTTCATGGTCTTCATCCCCCTACGCTAAAGTATGGGGGATAAAGACCATGTCTCTACCAATTTTTCCGTTTTGTCTATTCAATTTGTATACTATTATTCTTAATTTGAAATGTCTCTGGCATTATTTCACTCGTTCCACTTGTCATTCTATGTCAGTTCTGTTTTGTAACGTTATCAAATTTCCCTCAATGTTACGTAACTTTTTATTTTACTTGGTTTGCCTACTAATCTTATTATTGTACATCCCTTCCAAGTTCTATACGTCTAGTGAATTATTCTATATATGACAATAATTGTTTTGCCACTTGACATTTAACTATGATTATAATCACAAATATTTTAATTGCATTTCATACTACTACTATTATTGTTTCATGTATTCACACCTTTGGCCTAATTCCCTCACCGGATATACTTTCTTAAAAAATACCATATATATACGATTGTACAACTTGATAATAAATTCGTTGAAAAGGCAATCTCTTCGTTGAATCACTTGTTTTGATTTGATTTTACTCACTAGTTCTCTCTTCTCACACTCAGTATTTTTTATTGAGTTCCGATTTATCTGGTCATTCAGTTATTATTTATTATTGATTCCTTTATTTCCTAGAGGAACATAGGGCTTCAGCCGCACGTCTCCAGTGCGGTCGGTTCTCTGCCAACCTTTTCACCTGACTCCACATTGCTTTCATCTCCTCTTCACATGACCTCCTCCTACATATTACCCTCGCACTGATAACCAACTCGCCGCTTCCCGTTCGGGTTCCACTCTAGCGATGGCCTGTCGTGTAATATCACTAGAGTATGGCCAATCCACCTAACTCCATTTCTTCCTGCTTATTTGTTGCACAATCAGTTCCTGTTGGGTTGGTTCGCTCCCAGAGATCCCTGTTGCTAACCTTTTCTGGCCAGCCATCTGATGTTGAGCGGAGTATTGAGCGAAGACACTCATTCAATACACTCTGGATATTTTAAATTTGTAGCTTTTAATACAATACGGAAAAAACTCACCCTAAACTTTAAGTCACCGCATTTTACCATTCATCATATAAAGTGTCATTCATCATGTGGGTGAAAGTATTTAGACTGTATTTAGCCGTCTTTGTATGACGGCTTTCTCTGTCCCCATCCCTCTCTCTCTCTTTTTGTATTTACTTTCGCATAAACATATATGAAACCAAAACATAGTGATAAACTTTTAGGTCTACACATTAGCATTTCTTTTTTTCTTTCTTTTCACATATCTTTTACACATACAACACACGTTTATCAAAGAGTCAAATGTATTCACTCTATCATCTATATAACACATAGAAATTACAGTCTCCCCTGCTTACAATAGAACTTATCCGAGTTTCATTTGATACGAATCAATAAAGGCATGTGTACACGTGTAATTATGGAAACCTGAATAAAGTTCACCTCTCCAGGGTCCAAAATCAATCTCACAACCAATCAGACCAGAGTATGTTATGCAGAAAAAAAACCTGTTATGTATTATACGTATATATATAAAATATTCATTTCGTGAATTAATGTAGATATTTTAATCCGAGAAATCATGATAAATTACTAACACTCAATGGAAGCTTCATATAACACAGAGAAACTTTCAACAACTTCGTCTGGATATGCATCTAGTCAACAGAAAGCTAGACGTTTAAAAATACTACATGAACTTGAAGATCGTAAACTTCAACTGAATCATGATCGGCTAGCTAAAGCACAAAATAAAGTTTGCCGACAACTTGATTTTCAACGTTTACAATTCACTCGAAGATTTTCAGAAACAAGTTTTAATCCTTCTTTATTAGAAGAATTATCACCGAAATTATCAACAGTTGAAAGTACCACTTCAGATATCAAGAGAATAAGGCAAAGAAAACAGAATTCTTTCAGTATTGAAGGTTATAATCCTCCTGCACCTCCTCGTCGTCGTCTACGTTCTCATGAAGATCTAGAAAAAGATAGTTTAGACTATCCTTTTTGGTTGAGATTACGTTCTCTAGGTGTCCCTTCCGATGAAGATACATTCCTTGCAGCATTGGCATGCAAAAATATGAACATCAATGAGAAACACAAACTAGACTGTGATGATGTATTTGAACCTGTACCTCATGTAACCGATGGAAGTCGAACCTCAAGAGGAAATCAAATCGACTCGAGTACACAACGTTCTTCCAGTGTCACAGGAGTATATGAAGCATCTGAGAAACTATTGAGTGCAAAAGCTTTGAAACGTTCTGCTAGTTTAGAAAATAAAAAGCCCGACTGGTTACTGGCACTGTGTCAAATGAAACGAGAGAAACTGTCTCGTCTTAATTGTAATACTCAAGAGGAAATAGCTGCCCTGGTTAGTGGTAATAAATTCTATGATTCTAAACGATGTCATGTATTCAATGTGAAATATCGACCACGGAACTATCGTCTTATTAAATCGCACAGACATACTGTTGTCGGCATGACAAATGAATTTACACAAATATAAATTGCGATGAAAACAAACGTCATTTTTAAGAACTGTGCTTTTCTTTTGTGACGACAAGTGTGTGTATGTCTTCACTTTCTTGTAGTATTTTTGATATATACGTATACATGGTAGTGAGTTTCCATTTTTGCTTTTCATCTGTGTTACACATGTATGATGTAATCTGAATTTCAACCTTTATGAATACATCTATTCATTGTTTTTCATTCCTTCACGTTCCCAGTGGAACATAGGGCGCCTTCAAGCTAGAGGCTTGGAGTTTCTTTACTAGTGTTTATTTTTACAGGATGAGGTTGCTGGCCTCATGCCCAACCTTTCCCCTTTACCAGCCTTATTTCTGGCTTAGAGAGGTAAAGGAGTGCGTCGGCCGGGGATCGAACTCCGGACCACATGAGGCGTGTTTGGCAAGCATTCTACCGCTATGCCACCGACGCACTATATCTATTCATACTGTTGTCTAAATTTATGGTTCGTAGGGTTCAGGATAGTGTTTAGTGTTGTTTTGTAGGAACAATTACTTATTTGTATTCGTTACTCATTTCGTGCATAGAATTGGATCCAGGTGGGGCCAAATAACGAATTAACCAAAATTGTGAACCATATGCCATTAAATTCCTATGTATAGACTGAGTGACAATGTGTTTACCTTGTTGCCTAACAGTTTTGGGCTCAATTTCCTGTAGGCTTGACAAGGTGTATTACCATTTAGTTCAAAAGTAGGATGGAATTTGATTATTCTTTTGGTGATGTTAGTGTAAAACGGAGCCTACTTCGTAGTAAAGTTACTAAATTCAGCTATCAGGTAGGTAGTTACCTGTCTTCTAGTGGGAAGTCATGACCAGTAGGATATAGCAGGTCGGGTGTGAGGAGAAATACTCGCCACCAACGACAATGGCTAGTGGTCGCGTCGCATCGTGAATTGGTAGAAGCTGGAATTCATGGACTGGCCATTGGATCAGGTCCTAGTGGGTTATTGGTCTATGAGCTCGTCTTGTAATGAAGACGTCCTGAGTTCGAACCTCAGTGGGTGCGTAATGATGAAGAGTCCTAAGCACTGTAAGGAAACAGCTATCCAGTACTCCCAGTTCTTCCAATGGTCCTCTAACCAATGTCAGTTCATGATGAAATCCTGAAACCAGTCAAATACCTGCAAACCAACACTTGCTTTAATGACATCATATTTATTAGTCAATAGCTAATAGTCATGAGATTTTCAGCAAGTTAAACAGTGAATTTCGTCCCACGTTTTTTTGAACTAAATAATGAAAAAAGTAGTATAGGATTTCAACCTTCTATAATTGTTTATAACATGGACCATGGATCCCTCTTGATGTTGAAAGAGTGAAGGTGAGTTGATTTTTAGTGTTACTTAACGAATAATCTGATATTTTCCATACAGTTCAACATGGTCAACAGCGAAAGTTTAAAGTTTCTTCTGACAATGTGCAGTAATTTCACGACTATCAGTGAACAAGGGTTTACTGATGAAGTTAGATAGATCGGATTTTTTTACTCCTCTAAGTTCCGAGTGCAACATAGGGCTTCAAGCTTGAGCTCTGAAGTTTCATTAGCCACAGTGTTGATGTTTTACGGAGTGAGGTTGCTAACTTCACGCCCAACTTTCCGTCTTTACCTGGCGTACTACGGGGTAAGCAAGGTTTTAGGAGTGCCGCGGACTGAGCCTCGGATCAGGTGTATAGTTAGCGAGTATTCTACCGCTGAACCACCGACCCTGATTATTTCGACGTGATGGGAGTTGTTTGAAGCGGTTGTCAACAGTCATGCGTGAATGTATCTGTCTTCATGTTGGTCAAGCATGGGTGCAAATGGATGATTCATGCTGGAATCTGTATTGTCTTGAGCACAGAATTCTAGAAGATTTAGACAATAGAAATCCCAGTGTCGAATGAAACATGACATCCACTTATCCGAAAAGTGAATTATATCATTCTGTGAAATAATAACATATAAACATTGACTAACTAATACTTATTAATTATTATTATTTACATTCTATTGAGTAACATATTTCAGGTGATAATTGCCAGTGTGTTGCTCACAGTGAAATAAATTTTAACCGTTTATAACTCAAATTTTTCAAAACCACGAATGACAGGATAAGCATCTTAATTATTTATAGCACAGGGGCGAAACAATGAAAAATAGTTTTAAAAATAAAATACCATCCACAGATAAGCACTACTATGTGCCGAAATAGTAGGAGGCACGTATGTGGACGTTAAGGCCAACGAGGATCGAGAAAGCCAGAAAGGCGTTCTTTAGTCTGGAACCAGCGTTGAGTTCTACAGTACTCAGTACAACCAACAACATTCGAATTTTAAACAATAATATTAGGTCATTGCTTCTGTGCGGCTCAGAGACTTGTTGTGTGAGCATCTCGAAAAGCATTTTCAACAGCCTGCTACAGACTGTCATCAACACCCAACTTTGTTAACTGATTCGCTAAAGACTCTAACCAACAATGTCCTCTGATAGTGAAGTAAACCGGCCATCAGTCTGTCACCCAACAAATATGCAGGAGGAAATTTAGATGGGTTCAAAATTACAATAAGGAGACTGTTGGATGACATGGCAGGATTAGTAGGCCGTCAAGTGGAACTTGAATGGGAAATGATGGGATGGGTACATCAGGGGGAGATTATGTTGACAAAGTCGTGGAGTTATTTGAAAGTAATGTCGTACAATCGAATGGAATGGAGATGTGCCATGGGGGTTCAATATTTCTCTCGTAAAGCAGGGAATGAATATATCGAATTAATAGCTAATGCACACTGATGTAAAATTACACTGTATTGTGAAGAATACAATTCTAGATTTATTTTTAAAAGTCAACAGTTTTGTTTTTACTTAAACATAAAGTGTTTTCAGTAAACATTTCGAAATTCCTTATACAGTTTTGTTTATTGCATTATTCAGTACTACTTTGCTCAGCAAAGTTTTGCATATTTTTCCATGAAATTCGCATTGAATTAATAATTCCAATACGAATAAGTCAACGTCTACAGCAGATATGTTGAAAATCCTGTTAACATTGGTGTAAGTAAGGATTCGAATTTGGCAGTGTTTTTCGACTGATTTCCTTTCCCACCAACTAAAACCCTCATGCCTAATCGTTTTTTTATTCCGAAGCTATATGGGAATTAATTCGAGAGAACAATCCTAGTCTTTGCATACAAAAGTAGTGTGTTCTACCATTGTCTCTCCCTTGCTTAGCCTAGGTGAATTCTAACCAAAACCCTCCCACCCTTTCTTATTTCCCATTTCGTCGTACTTTTATGATATTTATTTAAACTCTGATTACCCGTCCAGTTCACTTTTTGTATTGCGTAACTTTTAAGATTTGACCTAATTTATTTATTTATTTAATTGCCTACATATACACATATTACTACCTTTGTTATTCTTATTGCCACCTGCATAAACCTTATTATCAATATTTTGTTATCACTACAATCATCGTTATTAACTACGTTCAAAACATTTACCACATTATTATTATTTGTTCCACAAAATCACAATCATTGGTTAAAATTGTTATATATAGAAATCTATGTAAATTAGAGTAAAGCCTGAAGAAGATCTAATTGAAAACAACAATATTGTTCGCTTATATATATCTTGTTCTAATTTGATGTGTATACATATTCAGTTGAATACAGATGTGAGATAAACTATTCTTCATATTGATTTGTGCCATAAACTGTTTATGAGGTAGGCGGATGTGTTGTTTAACACAAACCTTTCAAATGCAGACTTTTAGGCGGCCTGCAGAAAATTTTTTTCTACCATATGTTCGCATATTGTATACTGAAGAGACGTTTTTTCTTGAAAAAAGAGTTGATCTACTTAATATAGAGTATTCTTAACAGATTATGATTAGTTTTGACAAAATCAGACAAAAGCGTCTACTTTAGTGAGTTAAACCATTTTAAAGGGAATATTATTCACACAGTGACAAGTGTAATTAATTCATTGATTTTTATGAGTTGATCGGGGATTGATATCAGTTAGAGAACCAGTGAAAGTTAGAATTCATGGACTGGCCATTGAATCGGATCCCAGTGGCTTAATGGTATACGAGCTTGCCTTGTAACCAGCAGGTCCTTGGTTCGAACCTCCTGTTGGTGGGTGCGTGGTGCCAATGGTTCCCAAACCAGGCTGACGAAACAGCTGCGCGGTACCCCCTGGTTTTCAGTGGTTCTCTAACTGATATCAGTTCTTTGTCAAACTCCTAAAAATAAATCTAATCCTTTAAAAAAAACTCCTGAAAGTTCTACACCTTGATAAGCAAATAAATCCTGAATACTCTACATATTTGGAATACTTAAAGTACAGAAGTTTAAAATAAGTTCCCTGAAGCATACTTTTCTTTTTCTTTTTTCTTCCTTCAAGTTCCCATTGGAACATAGGACTTCAAGCTAGAGGCTTGAAGTTTCGGTAGCAGTGGTGACTATTTTTACAGGATGGGGTCGCTAGCCTCATGCCCAACCTTTCCTCTTTGCCAACTGGCTTAGCGAGGTAAAGAAGTGCGTTGGCCGGAGATCGAAGCCCGGACCATATGCATGGTCGGTGAGCATCCTAACCGCTGTGCCACCGATGCACCTCATACCTAATACTTACGAGATATTGTTATCAAGTTTTGGTTTACAAGAATCTTATTGGTTACAGCTTTGACCATGAGCTGAAATCAGTTAGAGGATAACTGGAAACCAGGGAGGTGACCAGAAGATCAGGGGATCGAGCTCCGGTGAGTGCGTTCCACAGATGAGTTTCAAACTAGGATGGAACAGCTGTTCAGTGCTCCTTAGTTTTCCATTGGTTCTGTAACTGAGGTACAATTTTCACTGAAATTTGTTCGTCACTATCTACTTGTGTGTATGATAATATATATTTATTCCTGTCTATGTTGGAACACACCTATCTGTACAGGTATTAATAAGTGTTATTTAAATTACATAAATTTGGTTTATAGTGAATTTACATGACTTTAATTTGTGAGAACAACTGCTAACTAGTCATTCAATGGAACACATTAAGAAATATAGAAATATTGACTTCGCATTAACAAAAATCCCAAGTCTGTCTTAGATGGATCACAAATACATGGGGAAAAATAAAGCTTGAAGTCAGTTCTCCCACATAACTTTGCCGTGTACAGCTT